TATGTCGTGATTTGATCGCATTCAAATGTGCTAGTAGCGAATTAATGAAGTCTTCTGCGTTTGTATTAGAGGGTGATCTATAGATGGCCAAGATTATGCTATTATGCATCATTATTTCCAATCCTGACGCGTGTACTAAGTTCATTTCCTTTACTTTCACTTTATGTTCATCTTTAATGTAAACTACGACACCATCATTTTGATTAACTAATTTATTAGTGAAATAGACAGTGTAATTAGTTAATAATGGAATATTTTTATTTGAATTTAAACGACATTCTGTGAATATGATAACGTCAATATTAATTTTAAATTGTGAAAAAGTTATTTCAAAATCACTAAAATTGTTATATATGCTTCTTATATTCCGGTGAATTATATTTAAACTAGATTTCTTAAAAATATTATTTTGTAAGTCTTCAATGGACTTAGCGATTTCTGTATTATCTATGTCTTGTATAATTTGCAGAGACTTATCCATAATCATAGGTTAACTCAATATTACGTTTTAAATATATAAGGGATGCATATTTACATTGGTACAGCATTGTTTTATGAATTACTAGTAAACCTGGCGAACTCCGATTCGCCACCAGAAGGCTTTTATATAACATTTCGTTTGGTGATTAAAAGGTGATTTTTTTTGTTTTATATTTGAAAAGGAAAATTTTTTATTTCATTTCACAACAGTATTGAATTCATTTCGATTACAAAAATGAAGTGTTATTTAGTAGAACTTCTCTAAGTAAATGAAAGTGAATCCAAAGTAGATACCGAATCGAAGCGTGTCCACAAATTATCCCTTTCATTGAAGTGGTCCTTTGTAAACCACATTTATTGTTTTTTGGTCTAACTTTAACACAAATAAGGCGGATGGTTTCCAAACTCGTGAACACGCAAAATATAACGCCCATGTGAAAAACAATGTTTTCTAAATATATCCCGCAAATACTAAATGGTTTTAAGAGTTCAAACACAATACCGGTTTGTCACATGAAATTAACTGAGCAGAGAACAATGAGTAGCTGTCAACCATTGTATCATGCACCGGCACCATTTACTTAAAATATTAATTTGTAGTACATGTTATGTATGATGGCGCTGTATGTGAAAAAAGATTTTCCCGCTTTTCTGTTGAAATTTTTTGTTTTGTACCTCACGGAGCCCAAGACCTTTCCAACGAATGCGAAATCGTGGAAATTAGTTCGTTCTGAAGTTATAGCGTCAGGATGGAAAACCGGACTTATTTTTATATAGTAGATCTCTTACAAATATCTAATTGTCGTCATTACGTCATTACATATCTGTCGTTATACGTCAATTGCATAGCTATCAATTGTGTTTCGTTATTCCACGTTTTATAGTGACTGACGTTTCATGTCAAGTCCCACGGGAATGCTATTTGCGGGTATTTTCTTCTGTCTTAAAGCCAAGATCTTTGGCCCGCAGTTTTTCTTTATTTTTAATATTAAAGTTTTGAGAAGCTTTTAGTATATCCGTTTTAACAATTGTTGAGCTTGTTTCAATAATTATTATTGGTGTATTTTTATTTTTATCCTTTTTTCCTTGAACCCGATAAATGTCTTCAATATCAGACTTTTCGATTTTGCATTTGATGTTTCCTGTTAGGTTAATTACCATACCCATTAAGTCCTTCCTAGTCTCATTATTAATGTTCGGAACATTTTTATTTCGAGGCAAGTTTTCCTATTGTTTCGCCGCATATCCTCAATCTTGTCCTCTAGTAAGGTAATCAGTAGCGGGGCAAGACCTAAATTTGATGTGGGCAAGACAGATTTCGCGAGGCCCTATTCTATGGCAACTTGAAGCTCTAACTACCAGCTAGTTTTAAAAACTTTAATGTAGATACGTTTTTTACCCTTAAAGCTTACTGCTTCCTTACTACAAATAATTACTGCATTACATACTTATTACCAATTAAATATTTCTTACTTTATGTAAAAAAGACGAGTACAGGTACCGGTGTAATTACAAATCACAAAGAAAACAAAAACAATTAAAAAACGTCACTGTTTTCGGGGGCAATCAATAACTTAAACACTATCTATTTATTCGCTAAATATTATTAAAACATTGAACACATTATTCTTATTAAAATTTATTAAAATAGGTTTAATTAATTCTGATTCCCAAAGAGGGTTGACGTCAGGCAGGCGACCGGTTGTAAAAACAAATAGCCAAAACTAATCACAACATGTAAGGCAGATCCTGGCTGGCTGGGAAATTGCCAGGAAGAAGAAGAAGAAGAACAAGATTTTTTTTATTCACGCTTTAAAATTTTTTGAGGCGCGAGGCCCTTTGTACCGCGAGGCCGTAGGCGGTTGCCCACGTCGCCCACGCCTTACGCCGCCACTGAAGGTAATACATTCCCGATCTTTTTTGATTGTATCTAAAACAGATTTATTTTGTTCTGTAGTTCCTCATTTTTTTGGGTTAAGAATTCCATAGTTTTTTCAATGTTGATATTTGTCTGTTTAATGTCTTTTAGAGTAGATTTTATAGCTTGCAGTTCAGTATTTTGTGCAAATAAAAGAGACGACAATTCTTTTATGTCATTTTTAAGTGAATCTAAAATACAATCATCCTCTCCACGCCGCTGAACTCTCTGGCTTACGAAAGTATTTTAGTGTTTTATATTTTAATTTTGATTCAGATGCGATTACAAGTACTAGGAGACTATACGATATGAAGAGAATCTCCTTTAAAATGTCATAAGCACGATATTCTACGTGTACTATGTAATACCAGGAATGTAGCATTATGCACAATGTGATATCAAAGCAAAAGCAAAGCATGCATAGGGTAAAACCGGAAGCAGTATTTGTACTTTTTGTCTCCTTAGGTACCAGGGTCACATATAAGCACAGTAACTTGATTAGCAAAAACGCACGAGATGGATGTTGCGTTTTTAATTTTGTAGGCGCTGTAAGCCGGGTTAAAGTACCAGGGTATAATGAATCACAGGTACTCACACAGTTTATGCAGCTATGTTGTATGTGGTTCCAATGCACTTCTGCACTCCTAATTATTAAACTTGATTTATTTTTGAGATTTTGAATGAAATTTTTAGTATTTAAATCAAATTTTTTTAGTATCTAAATCAAATTTTTAGTATTTAAATCAAATTTTGAATGAAATTTTTAGTATTTAAATCGAAAAGGTTCGTCCACGTCTACTCTTGTCAGAGGTCCGAGGGGAAGAGGAATAATATTTTATGGTTGCAATTATAACTAGTATGTACTAAGCGACATCATGTCCCTATTACCGAGTGGGACATCATTCGTACTTTCGACAAATACTATGAATTCAGACTTGGCTTCCGAATCTTCAGGGTATCGTCGAAAATAATCAGCGACCCTAAAGGGAAGGAAGGCATTTGCATCCTGCAATACTGGCGAATCCTCGTAATCGGAATCGCTGCTTGTGCCGAGATTCAAAGACTCACCTGAATCCTTCTTTTTACGTTTTTTCATCATCTCTCCACATAAACACTTATATACAGACTAAGTTTTACTTCTTTACAATAAACTAAACAAAAATTTGCAAAATATAGTATAAAACTATTTAAAATAATTTAAAATTTTCAAAAAGCACGTTTCAAAGTTTCAATTCCTGCGCTCTTTTTTTTTGTGTGTGACATATCAATGACAATTTGTATTTTTTTGTTTTATTAGTGTTGCTATTGCAATCGATCGATTTTTTTCAATAGAAAAAAAACAGATATGATTACATTTAACATTCTTCATATTTCAGTTTATAATACGTTTTAAATGACGAAACTAATTAAAAACAATATTTTTTTTTGTATTAAATACTTATAGTTGTATTACGTACTGCGAGATGATTCGATTTGACGCAATCGTTAATTGATTTTGCTGGTACAAACACAAAACGTGGATCAATAAAGCAAATCAATAAAGATACTTTAAAAATATTTTTTCAATAAAATACAAATGTACACTCAAACAATAAGAGAATGGCTAGCTAAAAAAAATATATTTTTTTCATAAACTTTTTATTTGCTAGCAGCTTGTTCACGCTAGGCCAAAAATGGAAATTGCCCTTTAATCTAAATGAGTCCTGTCGTTTGGGAGGCGATAGAAAAATTTTATAAAGCGAATTATATAACTACGAGGTAATTTCGGATATCATTTTAAAAATGGAGGTATTATTTTTGAGATCTACATTATTCCAGATGATCATAAGTGTTATAATTATATTCAAGAATTAGTCCTTTGTCTGAAATATTTTATTATTAATCATCAATTTTAATTTACATTAACATCATAAATAATTGTTGTACATATTTCTAAAAATGTTTTGAGCATTTGCCTGACGTAGGTTGCTAAGCAAAGCTTTGTTATTAAACATTCCACATCGAATTTAGCTGGAGTATAGTTATTCATACATTGAGGACCAGGGGTCAATGAACTGGTTAGCTCAGAGGTGATTGTAGACATTCACTTTCAAATTATACTGGTTCAGTGAAAGAGATATTTTTAAAAAAAACATTTATTTTAACAAGCCACAGAATATCAAATTGTATACATAACAGATGTAAATTTAAAACAAGTCCGCATCTATTTACAGATATAACTTTATTTCACAGATAAACAATAATTTGTGAATGTTAAATTAAGTGTCATGAAACAAACTAAATAAAATATAAAAAATAAACTTAAATACCACATCCCTAACTAATTGACATCTCTTTATTTCCATAAATACCCATCTGGTAATAATAATTTTTATGGTTGCAATTTTAACATACAAAAAAAATAAAATATTATACCATAACATATAATAATATATTTATTAATTGTGTTAATCCATTGCACATATCTATATATAATTAACGGATAATTAATCACAACATAACTACATGTGCTTTATTAGGAAGAATCCGTTTAAAACTAATAATTAAATTATCAAAATTACATTAAAAAATAAATCTTCTTCACACTAGACATCTATTATTTTTATTTACATTTCTTTATAACAATCTTTGGTTTCAATTTCACTGTTCTCAATTTATGCATGTGACTCATAACGAAATACATGCCAGGGAATGTGAGTACTAATAAGTAGACTCGTAAAAACGTTGGCATGTGGAAAGCGAAATTCCATTCATTGGGCATAGATACCGTAAATTTCAATGTTTCCTCAAAATATGGTATATTCCTTAAAATTACTATGGCCTCGCACATTATACCCAAAGGGTATAATGGTATCCACATAGTATAACGCAGCCAGGTCAATATATATATTTCTTTCTTATACAACTGAGCTATGTAGAATGGATATCTGGAAATGAAAAATATATACATCAGTATTTAAAAAATATCTTAACACCACATTTTAAAATATAATCTTATTATTAGTAGCTTTAACATTAAACTTTGATCTTCATTGTTTAACTATTGTCATTATAATTATTATGTAAACACAATTTTAGGTCACAAGCAATTATGTATGTACATTTAAAAAAATGCCCAGCTAAATAATATATGCAAATGATTTCTTTAATGTGTCCTAAGTTTTAAAAGCATAAGAGTCAGAAATCTGTGCAGATATACCACCAAATAAAATATTACTAGTAATTCATATAAAGTTAAACTAATTTAATAAAAGAATTTTCTTATATGTATCTTTTACATGGTCTGTCTTACATGTTGTGAATAGTTTTGGCTAATTGTTTTTACGACCGGCCGCCTGCCTGACATCAACCCTTTTTTTTTTAAATGTATTAATCAGTGATATCTAAATATTCTTAGAAAGTACATATGTCTCGGAAAAATCACATTGTTACTTGCCAGGATCGAACCCGCGCCCTCAGGCATGAGAGGCGGGCCTTTTAACCACTAGGCCACCACTGACTCTATGTATATGTATTTTAAATATTATTCACCTGACAATTTCAATAGTACTCCAAAGTATGAAAAGATAAAACACAACAGGTTTCGTCTGCATTCGAGGCTCTGATTCAATCATAACAAAGAGTATAAACGCCCGACCGCTGACTTGAAGAAATGGTACAAGTACACCACCCTGGAATATGAGAATACACATTTATATGTAGAATAACAAATATATACATTCACCAACATTAAAAAAGAAGTATTTGAAAATAGTAGATAAGATTTAGATAATGGAACTTTAATATTTTTGTATCTAGTCATTTATATTATCCTTCTAACTATTTTCTTTATGAGTACTAATTAGAAATAATATTGCATTAACAGGAATCATTGCCATAAATTATTTGATGCAAAATTAATATCACATTGAAATACACAGAAAATATGACAGATTGATTTATAAGCTAAGTAGTATATATACCTTTGTGTAACCAAACATAGGGTGCATGACCTCCAAAAACATCATAAGTTGTAGGAACTTCATGGCTGGACCGACATGTTCATAAGTATCGGCAACTGAATCATATTCCAATTTCGCATACCGTATTCCGATGACACACAATACATAAGTGTATCCAATAAATTGGAATAGATTGTACATAACTAGGTAGACTTTCTTGAAATCCTCTGAAAGGAACATATTGGTGTCGGCTTAATAACTATTGCATATAAAATACTGTATTAATATAAGTAATTAACATTAATAAATTTGATCACCAAATCTTATCTATTGTAACCAATTGGTATGATAAGAATTTTAAAAAGATAAATGGATTTTATTAAATAATATTTATCACGTAATTTAAGTGTGCAAAGGGCAGTATAAAGTGAAATATACATTAACAGTAGAGAAAAAATAAATATTTATGTTTCAAGAAATATTAATTATGAGCATTAATTGCTCAAATGGAATCTTCTTTTATGACTTTCAGTTCTGTATTATTAAACTTTTCTATATAATTAAAGTTATGAGTGTAAATTCTCGGTTTACCTTTCCGATATCCCATTTCTTCCTTTTGTAATGTATCATACAAGCCAGGGTAGTCTTGCATAACATTCCGTTCTTCTTCACTTTCCTGTCCATCCTCAGATTTCCATAGATCAAAGTTAATCTGTAAATTATTTATTATTAATTGTAACAAAATTTTCATTTTAACTTTGGGGTGAATAAGAGAATTTGGAAAAACTTTAGAACTATATTATATTGTGTTTCTAAGTGAACATTAATGATGACCTGATAAATAATGACAGGCAAAAGTATAACATTTGAGACAAAACCTCTCAGCATTCGATGGATTCACCATACATGTGTCAGGTCCATCGCTTTGCAGGGACAGGAGCTTCAACAGAGCCTGGGACTTGTGACCCAAGTGTAGGGTTAAGGAGCCCCTTGTCTAAAGCATGTTAAATACTCACCTCACTGTCCAAGTTCCTCTCTCTACCTAACCAAATTTGAAAAGAACCCACTAGGGCTGCCTTCAAAGTACTTTCCAAGAATTAATTGATGTTAGTACTTATGATGTAGGTTTTATACTCTAGCTTTGATAATGATTATTTCTAGATTTTTGGGTACCTTAAGCCATGCTGGCTTCTGTGGCTGAGCAGTGAGACGTGGCCACCAGGACGGCTTCTCTTTCTGAATGACGACATCTACTCTATTGTCGAAGATGCGAACTGTTGTAGCTTCGTTTGTCTATAAAATATACACTTCATTCACTTGAATTTTAAATTAGAAGATATAATTTAAAAGCTAAGCTTGATACGATTTTTAATATCACTATTTTAATTTTAATGTATCTTATATTGTTTTGATAAATTATTAATATTTACCGGTTTAACAGACGAAAATAAATCCAAACTAAACTCATAATTGGTTTCTCCGTGGGCACCGATACCTTTAGTCTTAAACTTTATATTATTATCGCCTACACTAATATCGGGTTTGATCACATTTTTTAAATCAATTTTTAGTGATATAGTTTTGTCTGTTTGGGCCCAATAAACGAATGGGCTCGGGATAACCATTATTTAAGAAGTACACTGTGTTATGGAAATATTTAACAATGTTTAAGTCTTTATAAAATAACTTATATTTTATTTTAGTAATAAATACCAAGTATACAATGTGATTATTTAAAACACCGTTCACAATTTTAGCGCAATAATAATGAGTATGTACTCGGTGGACGATGACACATTTGACAGCAATCGTTCAAATTACATTCCTAAGTCCAAATATTTATATCTACATAAGTTTTCTGTGGGTCAACATACTTGGAATAAGTTATTATAAAATCATTACTAATTTAAATTATCTTAAATTTTCTAAACTGAAGATTTTCACATATTAACTTTTTTAATAAAGAGATTAATGAAATTGTATAGGGTAATAAACTATGTATAAGTGATGTTCATTTGTTTTTGAGCATTAAAAAAATGGTAGATTATAAAGATATTGGTATAAATTATAGAAATGGGACTGGTGTCTACAACTGGGAAACGAAATGATTATCACCTGCCACTTCTTGACGTTGAGTATGAATTAACTTTTAGGGAGGCTCTTGGGGGTCAAAAACCTCTATCATAGTTATGCCCAGGAACTCAAATAAGAATTTAAAAAAATAATTACATGCCTATATTTTTTTTACATCAACCATTAGAACATGGGCTGGCTCGACCGGGGAAGTACCACCTTCTCACAGGAGATCGGCGTGAAGTAGTCAGTAATGACGACGTTTCGTCCAATGAGTGAGAGAGCCGGTTGCCCTTTCCCTGTTCCCAATCTTTCCTACCCGTTCCCTTTTCCCTACCTTTCCCATTCTGTCCTCCCCTCTTCCCTCTCCCCTCTTCTTCAAGGGTGTCAACACATCTGCAAACTATTGCTCCCTTTCGCATAAAAAAAAAATGTTTCCTGCCCTGATATCCCAGTTTATGTAGGGCCGCCACAACATGTTCTTCTCTTCTACAGAACATGTTGTAAATAGTCTTGGCTAATTGTTTTTACGACCGGCCGCTCGCCTGACATCAACCTTCTTTTGGGAATGCTTTAATCTGTGATGTGTAAATACCCTTAGAAAGTACATATGACTCGGAAAATGTGATTTTCCCTAATGTGTTAACTAATGTGTTAGTAGGTAGGTAGGCCCGGGCCAGGATCGCACCCACGCCCTCGTGCATGAGAGGCGGACCTTTTAACCACTAGGCCACCACTGACTGAAAAAAAAAGAATATCATAAAATAGGTACCGAGTGTGAAAACGTATAATTAATTTTAATTTTCAGACAGTAAGATATAAGTATTGTTTCATGTAAATTTAGTTTGGGCATTGAAGACGAATTAGTTATTTTATACATAGAAGCTTTTTCTCATAAGTTTCCTTAACTCTTATAAATCGGCGTCATATTTAAGACTACCGCCAAAACTTTACATACGATTGCGAAAATCATTTTTAATGTGTAAATTATACAATTTTTCTAAAAATGATTACAAAATGTTTGTAAAATCTTGAAGATATTATTCATCATAATGTTTTTCCCAATCGTTCGACTAGTGTTACGGCTGTATAATGTACGCCTGTGAGTAATAAAAAGCAAAATAGCGAGCGATTCATTCAGTAACTATGTATATGGTGGACGAACAAAAAATAACTCAATTGAAAAGAATAATTTGCGGGGGTGTAAGAATAGTTCAAACCTATTTGAGGTTCATCGAACCCAATATAGTTTTAGGGATTATTAATGAACCTACATTTTTCAAATCATTAAGATTCTTCAGCCTTTGAATATGGCTCTTTTAAGTATAATACTACTGTTTATTTTTTTTTGTTATACCTATCTTGAGTTTTATTTTTAATTTATTTAGTCTTTATCAAATCAAAGTTTTGTTTACTTCACAGCATCTGTGACTATAACTAATCGTTATTTTTTTTCTATGAAGGTTTGACTTTTATATATAAATATGTTAAGAACTTTTAAATGATTATTTTATAAAATATAATACGAAAAACAGAAACGTATATTAAAAATAAGTATAAAGTAACAACAGGCAATACATTTTAAAATGAAAGTTTTATTTCACTCGCAAAATGTGTGCTTACTCACATATTAAATACGTAAAGTGAAAACTTTTGGTCCCGTTGTAAGAGAATTGTACGAACGTCGAATTTAATGGAGTCAAAGTTTATATAGAGAAGTGTACAGAGCTGTTTTTGTTGTGTAAATTGTATTAGGGATGTGTACATTAAATAATTTAACACTTATAGCTCACAAATTACCATGACTGTTACACAAATATCCGCGAATATTCATCAAAAAACTTGTAACTAAATATTATCAAACATAATTGATTCCCAAAGAGAGTTGATGTCAAGCAGGCGGGCGATCGTAAAAACAATTAGCCAAAACTATTTACAACATGTAAGACAGACCCTGGCTAAAGCTGGGAAATTGCCAGGAAGAAAAAAATCGAACATAATGATGTTTCTATTAAGTTACGACATATATTTATTTGTTCAGATAGTATCCTATTACATATAAATTTTGGCTTATAAATTTAGCCTGTGTGACGTCATTTTAAATCGAATATGGTGGAATATCTAAGATAGCGGACTAATTGTTTTGAATTTTGTATACAATAAGTGCTTTAAATTATAGACCATGCTTGATAACTCTGTAAAATAAAATTTCCTTTCTTCAATTTAAGATTGTTTCCAAAATCATTTGAGAAGAAGATTCTGTTTCCATTCTCTTTTTATAAAAATAATTTATTAAAGCTAAACTATCGAATTAGTCAAAACATATTTGAAATCGAGCAATGTCATTTGCTTATTGAAAATTACCGAAAAGTATAGTAATATTAGATTTGGTTCGTTCATACATTATCTTATCTTAGATATGTAATGATAAAAAATGTTTTATAGGTCACTGTTTCATAGAAAAATTAATTCAAACAAACGTTTATATTTGCAAAAGGATTCCGTACAAGCATCGTAAGAGCTTTCGTGTGTTAATAACACTGCCCATTTAAGGGAATTATAGGGATTCCAATATTTACCAAATAGGTAGGTACTTCGTACAAAAATACGTAACTTATTTAGAGGAAATGTGTTTGATAACTTAGATAATAGCAAGATAAAATGCTCGGAATCCAGTAACAAATACCCAATATCCGTTGTGTTCTTGAATAAAGGAAGATTTCTTAAGAATTAACAAAGAATGCCTGTGTTTCGTTGAAACGCTGGACTGCTCTAGAAAACTAACCGCAAAGTATTAGGTATTTTTGCTGGAATGAGATTAAAAATAAATATCTTCCCTTGATCGTTTTATTGAACACATGAATAAGTACTTAATATAAAAACAATAATTATTTATTATTTTACGATCTTTAAATAAAAGTAACTTTTTTCATCCCTTTCTCTTGAAACAAATTTGAAATACCAGGTGGAGCGTCTTCTACTTTGTTGTTTGTACTTAAAATTGTGATGAAACAAAATTTTTAATTGTACCTTTTGTATTAAGTGCTTAATATGTTAAAATTAGCATTTCTATAATTAAGAATTATAACGAAGTATAAAAACTTACTGACTAAAACATTTTTAAAAACTCCAGACGATTATCTTGTGGGTCAAGTTATAGCTACAATTATTGTCGGTTAATTAACTGGACAAAGCATAAATTGCTTCTTTATTTTTAACCATTTTAACAGTGTAATCTTATGGTGTGTTATTGTACGAGTGTTTTTGATGTGATCATTTTTTAAATAATGACGATAGTTTTTTCAATAGAGTCAGTGGTGGTCTAGTAGTTAAAAGGCCCGCTTCTCATGCAATGTGATCTTCCAGATTTGTAATATGTACTTTATAAGAGTATTTAGACATCACGTTTAATGCATGCCCAAAGAGGGTTGATGTCCGGCAAGCGGCCGGTCGTAAAAACAATTAGCCAAAACTATTCACAACATGTAAGGTAGACATGCCCAAAGCTGGGAAATTGCTAAGTAGAAGAGATCGTTTTTTCAATACTAAGGATTGTTTTTTAAATAACGAGATTCCATTAAGAAAAATATTATAAGTAGTATTTGGTACAAATTAACTTTAAACATTGTTTCATGTATATATAATTTATATAGTTTTTTGATAAATAGAAACAAGAACAGTGTCACTGCTGGAAACATAACTAAGCTTGTCACTCGTAGCCCAAAAAGTCAGAATAATTGTGGATGTAAAAATATTTAAGCACAGAATGAAATTCAACAAGATATCCTCAATTCATCAGATGAATAACCACACAAACGATTTATAAAGCAAAACAGGAAAAATAATACGAAAATACCAGTCAAATGATGCATGATAGCTGTATTATTATGCTAACATTATATAATGTATTAAAAATGAAGGTTCGCGAATATTTGACGGTTTTCCTTATTCACGGTAACTAAGAAACGGAATAAATCTCATTTTGTTTTACGATTCGAAATACTTTTTTTTAAATTATTATTTCATTCGCACTGAAATCGTCAAATATTATGCCAATGTCAACGTTTTTATTTGTTGAGCGTATTATAAACTCGGATAACGTGTGTAGAAATTACAAAAGAGTTTGTCGAATGTAATAAAGGTCTTAATATACATTATTATTATGGATAAGTATTATTTGCAACCTGTTTAGACCACAAATGATCTTTTACTGTCACATTTCATATACTTAAGTGATCGTGATTGTAATCTATATATGCATATATAAAACGACAATATTCTTTTGTTAAATTTTGTTTAGGAACAATACTAAATGAAACAATATTAACATCTTTGTTTGAAATATTGCGCTTGTTAATTTAAATGAAAATAAGATCTGACAGTATTCAAACTCTAGATTGTCTGTGGTATGGTAATAATAACAGCTATTAAACCTATTTAGATTTACTTTCTTATTGAATTATAGTTATTACTGACGTTTATGACAAACTATGTATGGGTTGTTGTATGTTTGTATTTATGATTTATTGTAGATATCTGAGAATGCCTGTTTGCCTTCTTAACTAATTCGAATTTCTGGATACAATGAAATTTAATGTTTTTGATAAAATTTAGTATTACTCAGTGGTAGCCTAGGGGTTAAAGGGCTCGCCTCTCGTTGCCGAGGGCGCGGGTTCGAACCTGGCAAGTACCAATGTCATTTTTCGGAGTCATATGTACTTTCTGAGAGCATTTAGACATCACTGACATACGGTGAAGGAAAACATCGTGAGGAAACCTGGACTTATAGTTTCACAATTATAAGTTTGAAATCATCAACCCGTCTTGAGCAAGCGTGGTGATTAATGCTCAAACCTTCTCCATGTGAGAAAGAGGCTTTTGCTCAGCAGTGGGCTCTGATAGGCTGATGACGTACCTATAGATAAAATTTATATAAAATTCTTAGAAAAAATGAGGAATTTTATACTTTTTAACCTTTATTACATTTGTAACTAAAGCGAAGTTTGACATTGTTTAATTGGATTTGCTATTAGGAAAAAACTTTTAAGTGTTTTAAACAATTAAAGACTTTTCTGAAGATATTATGCTTCTTATATTCTTGAGCTGGTGACCGTACAAATAGTAATAATTATAAATATCATTATATATGTATAAAAGAAAGTCGTATTAGTTCCACTATTTATATCTCAAGAGCGACTTTACGGGTTATGCTAAAAGTTGGTGGTGAGGTAGGTTAGAACCAGGAAAAGGACATAGTATACTTTTCATGCGATCGAAAAATATATATAAAATTCAAAATCTTCTTATCTACTGTCTTTATAGACAGCTATACATTTCTAATACTCAAAATAAGTAGTTCATTATTTATTTATTATGAACAACACTGGCTTTTCAAAGACAAATAGATTTTGATGAGTAAAAAATTATCGTGTCAATTTGACAAATGCAATAAATTTTCGTGTTCAAAATAATCTTATAAAAAACATATATACACAGTTGTTTAATAATGAAATGATTGTTAAAAACAGTGGTGGGTTCATTGAGATGTAATTACTATCAGGACTGATATCCAATTATACGTAAGAACGGAGTAATCGTGGTCAATTGCTTTGTTTACAAGATTGTGAAATGCTATTGAAATGAACTATATATATAATTATAAAATATATTGATAATATTAGCAGTATTATTATTTTAATCAGTTGTGGCCTAGTGGTTAAAAAGGCCCGCCTCTCATGCACGAGGACGCGGGTTCGATCCTGGCAAGTACCAATGTGATTTTTCCTAGTCATATGTACTTTATAAGAGTATTTGGACATCGCTGATTAATGCATTCCCAAAGAGGGTTGATGTCAGGCAGGTGGCCGGTCGTAAAAACAATTATCCAAAACTGTTCACAACATATAAGGCAGACTCTGGCTATAGCTGGGAAATTGCCAGGTAGAAGAATATTAGTAGTATTATTTTATTAAAAAAAAATGTTGACGAAGACTATTATTTATACCCAAATTAACGATATGTGATACAGTTTAAATGATTATATATTCATTATTTATATTTTAAATCTCTTTATAAAATACGAAATATACCTGACACTAACAAGTTCAGAAAGTAGCAGAACTTAGTTATAAAATGTCAACTTTAAAGTGTTTCGTATCCGTATACTAAAGTTTGGTACGGTTCAACTGTCGTTAAATATGTTACTTGCGTCCGAATACTTTTGATACTCCAAAAGTTAACACTCCAAGCTTTAAGTGTTACTTTTAAGTTAGAAATGTTTCATTTAAAAGTTTATCCGGGATCGTCTTTCCATTCTACATGCAACTGGCACAATATATGCATTTCTTTGCACTTTTGAAAGCCATATCTTGAATAATCAAACAAGTTAGAAACGAGTAATCCGTATTCGAAAGCGAATTATCATATAAAATCTTTCGTTTAATTTGTGACTTTTATTTTGTAACTTGCATAATAATCGTATTAATAGTGGAATTTTATAATAATAGTAACTATAAGCCAGTATATAACTTTTGAATAACTTGAGGTTATGAATCTTTTTCGTTTAAAAAGTTTTATTTCTATAATGAATCTCGGAAACCGTTTTAACAATTATTATTACGGGATAATGTCTTAGTTTATTTGTGTTAAACTATTATTTTATTAATATTTGATTTTATGTTTCGTTTGTTTATCTTCTGGTTATTAAATAAGGAAAGTCTCGGTCGTTTTATCCACTTATATTTTAAACAAACATAATTTGAAAATTAAAAAAAAATACAATAAATAAAAAAAACCTCTACTTAGCGCTAAGTATTCGAATAAGGATCCTTATTCAAAATATTAAATAACAAATTTGTATTGAATTACAAAACTATGAATTATTATGTACATTTTTTAAACTTATACCAGTAAGTAATATTAACAATTGTCTCTATATCTCTCTCCGTTCCACCACCTCCTAAATTCAGGCCATTCGCTGACTTCAGAAACCTTCTCCTCATTGTTCAACATCTCACACAATTTACAGATATCTTCTTTGGATGAAGTCTCTTTGTACACGTAGTGGTTCCTCCAACGAAAATAGTCGTAGAACAATGTCTTGTTTGTTATTATTTCATACATCTTCTGCGCCAAAATTCTTGGGCCCAATAACAAACCGTCCAGGTAGCTCCCGGGAGGCAGAAATCTGAAAATTAAAATATATCATTGAACAAATATAAGAGGATTTTATACTGGTTTTAAATATAATGGGACTAAAGATGTATTATTTAAAGTACAGTTACAGTGTTGATTTTATAATTTTCAGCGTTACTTCCAGTACCTAATGTCCTACAAAATAGCCAAAGCCAGTTTATAGTTTCCATATACAAGTTGATACTTAAACGTTGCTATTACGAACTTATAATAGTTCAATATTATAATTAATTATAGTTAGTCATAGTAATATTTTTGAGGTACAGTATATTATAATTAGTACGGCAACTTGTAACAGTAACGAAAATCAAATGTTTTAAAAGAAACTAACATTTTTCGGATTATACTCCCGACGTTTCAGCTAATTTTCACCAACCGTGATCACTGGCAGACGAGATGTGAATTTACTTTGCATGTATGTGGTATATGTATGTATGTTCACTATATAATATTAGATCTCATTATAAAATGTTTTGTTGCCAGAGAGAAAAATAAAATATAAAGGGAATGATGCATACACGTATTTTGAAGTTATTTTCCTGAAAGTGAGATAGAATTTTTGGATAAATATTATTTCTGCTTTCTAATCCCTACTAATATTATAAATGCGAAAGTAACTCTGTTTGTCTGTCTGTCTGTCTGTTTACTACGCTTTCACGCCTAAACCACTGAACTGATTTTAATGAAATTCGGTACAGAGATAGAGTTGATCTTGAGAAAGAACATAGGATAGTTTTTATCCCAGACTTTTGAAAGGTTCTCTTGGAAACGCGATATAACCGAACTCCACGCGGCGAAGCTGCGGGCGGAAAGCTAGTGAGTTATAAAAACGGGAAAGAAGTTCAGTTGAATTCTTAGTTGTCATCACGCTTAACAAAATATATTTGTGAGTATTTTGTATTTAAATTGTCGTAATATTAACATAAAATAATTATTTAAACTGTAACTGTAAATTGTAACTCTGTCTGTCTGTCTCACACATCTACACCGCTGGACCGATTTAAATGAACTTTGGTATAGAGATAGATGGTACACTGGAGAAGGACAAAGCTACTTTAATCAAGATCAGAATTAATCCCAACACTACACGGGTTGTAGTGGCACAGAACAACTCTGATGTTCACGAGGACAGAGTCGCAGGCAAACGCTAGTATATAGTATTTTGTCTCAATTCATACAGTTTGCGAAGACTTCCATAATTATTTTACTTTCTTGTAAACCCATATCCAAGAAAAGCAACGTAAATGTATAATATACAGGAATATAAAATGTTAGCACAAAGGTCATTGTTATAAGCTGAAAACGTGTTTTTGTGTTGCCAATTCCACTAACAAAAGTAAAGGACTTCATAAGGATAAAAAGCTTTCTTATATTTAATCCTTCTCATTATTTTTTGATATTAAAATGTCACAAAAAGTTCAATCACAAATTCTAGCGCTTAAGTTGGGGCTCGAGTTCAAATATTCTGTATATTTATCAAATATTTGAAAAACAAATTGATTTTTTGAATTATTTTTATCTTAAACTTAATAAGACTTTTAAAACTATAAATGTGTATTGTTAGAGTGTACGTATATAATTGGATGTTTATATCAGTCTGCTAGATAATTATTTTCATCGTAACTCACAGAAACTTGATACCATACAACAACAAAATATATGAATGAATAATATTTTCGGATTACTACGAGTTTTTTATTATTTTAAACTACATATTCCCGACGTTTCGGTTACTTTGCAGCAACCGTGATCACGGGCAGGCGAGATGTGAATGTCTGTCACAGACAGTAGTACTCCGAAATATTAGTTTCATTTAAATGAACTCGCGAAAGTCTTAGACCTCATTAAAATTTCTTGGTGACAGCACTATGACCCTGTATTTCAGCGTAGATTTGAGTACTTTTCAAGTAAAAAATCAGTTTTCTTTATGTGAATTAACTATGTCTAATTTTGTAAAAATGAGAGTGGTAGAAGTATCACTCTAAACTCCTATATATATGTATATATGATCGATTGTTATGCTGTGTCATTGTTATAAAAACGTATGTACTTTAAAATATTAGTATTTACATAATGATGTGGTAAGATCCAGTAATTTCACCTAACAAACTAATGTAACATTACAATATGTCTACAAGCCTGTAAATATATGAGATTTTTTTTTATGCAGAAATGAAAATATTCTCAATTACACTGAGTATCGGATCTTAATAATTATATACATTTAATTATATCATGGCATATTCAATACAATATTTTAAAATCAATTTATGTTTTATTGGAGAATAATTGGAGGTAATATTGATAAATATTCTTGATTGACGAAAATTTGGTCATTAGTTTTAAGTAAAATTATAGTAGAAGAAAAATCCTTTATATAATAAAAGCATACATTATGTTTAATGCATATAATGTATAGAAGTATTGAATAAATCGTACCATTCAAAAGAACATATCTATTTTCTGTTTCAGTAATAGTCAGTAATTATTCCATATTCGTTCCTAATATTAGACTATATCAAGGCTATAAAAGAATATTAAATTTGTCATCGTAATTATACTTAAATAGTCCATTGTCTAGTATTTTTATAATTTAGATAAATGAGATATTTTAAATACGTAATTTATGATGAAATATATTTATTTATGGAGTTATTCAATACACAATTATTGATAATAGAAAATGACGTTACATTTTATGTGAGATCGGATATTTTGTACTCATTAGTAACCATTGATGAATTAGTACTATAATACACATACACACACGCACGCACGCACACACACACGCACAAACACTGACACACATCAATTTTTATGCTTATATAAATCTATGTATATGGGGTTGAAAAAAACGTGTTATTGATTTTGAAGGTTGCTTTGTATGTGTGTGTGGTATAAGGCATTGTAATATTTCAAAGATATGTGGGTTTCTATTTAACGAGTCCTTTATAAATAACCAAGAGTATCTGTCAGCGATATAAATAGCATCCATTATATAATATAATTGTTCCTAGTAATCTATATATATAAAAATGCATTGCTGTTCGTTAGTCTCACTAAAACTCGAGAACGGCTGAACAGATTTATCTTATCTTAGTCTTGAAGTGTTCGTGGAGGTTCAGGGAAAGTTTAGAAGCTGAAAAAAAATTGAATCATTTCCGGGAAAACCCTAAGGGCAGCCCTTTTTTATTTCCCATACAAACGTTTTCTTTGACATTAGATTTGACAACTATCTAATATGTCAATCATTCTGTCGCACTGTGTTATTGGAATAATTTTGTATTATTAATATACCACTTACAATTCAATAATCTCAGTTAGGAAGACAGAACGTTGTATGTCGGGTCAGTTATACTTAATAAAGAAATTAACTTCATTCAGATAAAAAGGTAACAGATATTTCTTGATTATAGGGCGGTACGAAGTTCGACGGGTCAGCTAGTATATATGTATATATGTATATTTATATCTTTCCCGAGATGTTTTTTCGATTCGTGAATGTAAATTTTGCATTTAAGTGATTTAAATTCAAAAGCAAATCTTTAGATCATGATATTAAAGTTTTTTTCGTAATTTGAATACGCAGATCTAGTTGAGAAGAATGCAATAAAGATTTTATTGAAATATATGAGGAGCGATAACCTCAGCCCCCAAGGGTGTTAAAATTACTTCAACCAAAATGAAAAACATAAAGATTAAATGAAACTAAATATATAGAAAATATCAAGGTTATACTAAGGGTTTTCCCAAAGAGGGTTGATGTCAGGCAGGCGGCCGGTCGTAAAAACAATTAGCCAAAATTATTCACAACATGTAAGGCAGACCTTGGCTATGGCTGAGAAATTGCCAGGTAGAAGAAGAAAGATTATACTAAGGGTATTTTATTATTTTAACAATTACTCCCGACGTTTCGGTCACTTTTTCAGCAACCGTGATCACGGACAGACGAGATTTGAATATCAAAATTGTATGATAAACATTGTACTCAATTTTCAGTGAAATTTCTCATGAAACGTAAAATCCTTGGAAATTAATTACTAGAAATCAATGTATTGTATTTGTTATGTTCTCGACATATCACTGCAGTTACGCGAAACGCGTAAATGGCCGTACGAACCAGAAGATTCCTGGTAATACAAAAGCAATTAGATGACATTGCTATACTTATATTAGGGCATTATATGTCTTGTTTATAAGTAAGTTTTAGAAGTGTTATTTTTATTATGTTGTTACAAATGGCGCCATCTGTGCCGTACTAAGTATTATATACTTTAATCCTTACAAATATTTTTATGACTGATTATAATTAATTATAATACTGAATCATTGTAATTTTGTAATGGCAACATTTAAGTATCAACATGTATTTGAAAACTATAAATACTGGCTTCAGACATTTTATATGACATTACTTGAAGTGACGTTGAATATTGAAAAACAAATCGAAACATATATAACCTATGTATATAAGTCTAAATTCATATTTTTAAACTTCGCTTTTTCAATATTAGATTTAACATGAAATAACTGTGACTTTTCCTAAATTATAATTCAATATTTAATCATAAAATGTTATTATTTCAAGCTTAATCTCATTATATAAACAAATGTTTTCATAATCAATATTTATTTACCTCGTGTAATCTGCAGCACCAAACACCACTGGTATTGCATCGTTGTTCAAAGCCGTCAACAGCTTCTCTGTCACGTAATCTTCAGAAAAAGAATTCTCCAACGAAAAATAGAAGTAATAATCACTTTTTATTAAATCGAAACACGCTTTAGCTTCAGTCTTTGGACAACTAAAAGTGCCACAGGCGCCGTAAACGTCTATTGACAGACTATATTTTTCAAGTTCTTTTTGAACTGAATTCACGAACATTTCTCTTCTGCCTTTGGAATTACAATGCGACACAAACCAGGCGGCTGCCTTCTTTTTTTTTGACAAACTCCTTTTTAATTCATCACTGATAGGATTTAACTCTTCCCGCCACTTCATATTCACAGACGGACCCACAATGGTACCGTTCAGATCGTAAATAGTGATATAGCCAAAACGAAAATCCGAATCCAATTTGTACGTCCAAGTCCAATTGAAAAAACCGTCGTAAATCTGATTGCAGACAGGGAAATTGTCGGGCGATTCCATTGCACCGAAAATGTATTTCTGTTTCGGCGAGCGATCTGTCGGCAGAAGCCAAAGATTTTCAACATCGCGTCCATTGAATGCGATCGCGTCGAATTCAGAGTGGTTCAAAAAATAATTGCTGTCGTCTGTCACAAAACAATTGTTGTACACACATTTGTTTTTGATGAACGCTGAATTTCCTTCTCCCATGAAGTCGAATGGCGCACTGAAACGTCGAGTCCATTGGAGTATGTACTTTATATCTTTGTTATTAACGTACGATATGTAATGCGAGGTCGCCCTTATTTCTCGTAATTTCGCACTGTATATTTGTATGAGTGAAAATGCGTATACAACTACGATCAAAATAACAAGCTTTCCTAAACCAATGAATCTTAAAACACTATATATTTTCGACAACATCGCGTGTGTCCTTGCGGCCGTTTGTATCAAACCTAGTAAAATCAGTGATATTATCTTCTATTATCGGTTATTCGTAACGATTCGGTCCTATCGTGTCCGAATATTTTACCTCCATACGTGAGTTCGATTATGACAATATAGATAACTTTCCTTGATAATAATTAATATAGTGTCAGTCGAAACTACCGTTGACATTTAATAGATGTAAAAATACCTTGTGAAAAATTACTCAATATAGTCGATAAGTAATGTATATATATTTGTCTTTTTAATATTTCTTAATAACTATATCAAGTAGTTGCAAATTGAGAATTGTGTTTTGGATATAAAGAATGTTCTATCGTAGGGAAAATTCAATTTAGGTTTTTCCTTTGAAAATATTTGCATCTTACTAAAATCTTTTTGGTAAATTATAAACAATTTTTTAAAATTATGTCATTATATTTAAAAATAAAATAAAATTTTATACAGAAGTGTGTCAATTGTTAGTTGTATCATTTATTGTTTTTTGAATTCATTACTGAGCTGTCACAATTCTTTAATAATGCATTCAGTCATTTGCATAATATTGTAATTGATTATATTCAAATTATACTCGATACCTTTATCTTTTGGACAGTTTTTCTTATTTTATCTAGTAAATATTAGTTTGAAATTGATTTTTATAGTGATTTGTTAAAATTATCGTGATCCTAATTTAGGTATCTTATTCGTTTTGTATTTCGTTTGATTTTTTTTTATTACAGATGTCTCACTTTATAAACTTTCTTCGAAAATAAATAAAAAAATTCCATTTATCTTTTTTTATTGAATAGGTATGCATAATTTACAAGGCATTAAATTTTATTGGAATATTCAGTGATCATTATATATTATCATTGTTGTATTTCTGTATTCAAAACAAAATTTTATCGTAAAAGCCATTTTTAAATCTATATTGACGCAGTTCAGTCATTGTTTTGTTCAGGTATTCATAATATATAATAATAAGCTTGGTTTATAAACCATAAACAATATGGAATATTTTTCCAAATGATGAATTTCCTCATATAGTAGATTCAGTGTATTTTTTATAAAATAGAGGTGAATTTGTTTATAAAAAACTGAACTTGTGTGTGTTATATCCTTCCAAGTTATATAGGCTGAGAGACACAAATACATATTAGCTTTATTAAATTTCTATATACTGGTCTAGAGATGTGAATTTAATATTTGACTTAAAAATTACAATAAATTTAAAAGTTTATAAACAATTTATTGATGTATAATTCCACTAACTTTCTCTGTATTTTTTTTAATTTGTACTAGACTAATAAAAATAAGCATAAATATGATAATAATAAATAATTCATGTGATACATTATATAGTGAATTTAATGTATAGTTACATAGCTATGATGCAATGAAGTACAAAATGGAACCAAATTTAGTATTTGCTTAGGCCAAAACTGACCGAGGTCGAAGAAGATAATGGGACATGTGTATCATTGTGTAAACAAGTTGATAAAGTACAGGCAATGTTTGAGAATAGCGCTGGCCTTACTTGCTGATTTAAGTCTGGTTTAATCTTTGTCTATCCTTTTAACCTTTGGTAAACTAAATAATAATCTAGAAAGAGTTTTCATTGTACATAAGAACCTTTATATTAGCAAAATTTTATTCATATATAAGTTTATCATATTTTTAAAGTGTGAAATTTCAAATAATAATATAACTATATATAGTAAAATCCTTTACCCACTGACCATTACAAATTTAAACTTTATTCAATATAAGTATAAAATTTAAATCATAAATAATGTTTTTTATCATGGAATGGGTATTTTTAGTCAGGTTTTGTATACCTAAGCATCTCTAAATTCTTTCACTTTTTTCTATCTATGAACATCTTTCTCCATCCTTTGCTAAGATATATTCCCATTGTTTGGCTCAGATTTCTTGTTCCCTTTTTCCATTCCTTGGAAACTCAACTAATTACTACATTTGCTATACATTTTTCATTGTCATTCCTCACTAAACTATACAAAATACAGTTACATTAGTCTCCTTATTCTTTGTAACACTCCATTGCCTTTAATTTTAAAGCTATCCATCTATCTCATAGTCTTATTAGGAATACTTCTTTCCATGCTATTTTAGAAGATTAAGTTGCTATCACAACCAAAGTTTGACTTCCATAAATAAAGCAACATTATACATGTTTTACATAAGTAATTTTATGAACTACTACTTTTTTTAAATGCCAGTGTTGCTAATTCTTTTGTCTATTACTTTAGAATACTACATTTAGTTTTTTTTATATGATAAATGCCAAACAAACAGATGGTCTACATCACGGAGGTAGTACCGTTGCCCATAGACATCTGCAAAAGTATATAGAAAATGCGTTGCACCCTTGATTGAGTCGGAAGGAGAGGAAAGGATGGGAAAAGGGAAAGGGAAAGGGCAACCGGTTCTCTCACTCATCGGACGAAACGAAGCCGTTAAAGACTATTTCACGCTGATATTCTGTGAGAGGGTTTGACTTTCCCGGTCGAGCCAGCCCATGTTCGAGCTGCAGTAACTTGACCACAGCTAGGCTCTACCAACATAAATATTGTATCATTTTTGCTCTAAAACACTTTTTTTCTTTAGAGCATTCGTCAATAATTTGTCTGCTTTTTATTAATTGTTAACCCTGTTTCTCTGATTTCACAATATTTTTTTGTAACATACACTGTAGTGTACCTACCTGATTATAAATAAAGCACAAACTGATTATGATAGGTAATTAATATTAAGTATGCAAAAGTTTTTATCGTGTGGGTTGTACAGAAGTGGGTGGAATAAAGTTTTGTACTTAATTACATACATACCTATAATTGGAATAGCATATATTTTAATTTTTGTTTCAATAACTTTCAAAGCCAATCCCCCGTTTTAACTAGTACCTACTATATAAAAACCTGACATATTACCAATTTTTTAAGTATACATATTTGTATTTAACGTAAATGTGGGTGTCTCAGATGGTTTAGAAATCCAAATTGGGCCGGCAGATGTCGCTGCAATCGTTATCTAGACGTTATCGTTAACCATACAGTTTTAACACACTTTAAATATTTCTCTGATTTTCACTCGCAGTCGTAATATGTACATAAATGTATAAGTATACATTAAAACTACCCATAAAATAAAATGTTCGTTTACATTATTGAAAGAAAAAATTTCTGTCGAAATAATAAGACATCTGAATGATCGTTTAGCCGGGTGGTTCAGAATACTTACATTATTATCCCATTATTAAAAGCCGTATATCGTAATAGGAAGAAAGTTGTTTAATATTTATATAAATAATACATAAAAAATGTATCAAAACGGATAATATTCCTGTTTACACGTGGTTACAAAGACGTGTGGTCATATGCGCAATTCATACATGAGCTTTATATATATAGTCTTAAAGTGGAAAATTGATTAAAAATCGTAGTTTCATTAACAATACTTAGCGGACACATTTTACTGGGCCATAAAAATATTTATGATTTTACAATACCTTGATGAGAGCACTAATTCTGCAGCTTGATTTTATATTCAGTTTTACGAATTAGACTTTATTAATAATTTTTTTTTGCAGATATTTTACGAATCTTAAGAAATATTTCTACTTACATGCTAGTTTGTTTGGCAAATTTTCTAATTTTTAGCATGCATGTATGCATTTCAAACCAGATAGAAATATCAATAATTCAGAAAATCGATAAAATAATAGAAAATAATAATATTATTTGCGTAAATATTTCATACGTCGTTGTGGCCTAGTGGTTAAAGGCTCGCCTCTCTTGCATGAAGGCGCGGGATCGAAACGTGGCAAGTACCAATGTGATTTTTCCGAGTCATATGTTAGGTACTTTCTAAGAGTATTTAAACACCAGTGACATACGGTGAAGGAAAACGTCGTGAGGAAACCTGGACTTACAATTTCCAATTATAAGTTTGAAATCACCAAACCATCTTGAGCAAGCGTGGTGATTAATGCTCAAGTCTTGTCCATGTGAGAAGAGGCCTTTGCTCAGCAGTGGGCTCTGATAGGCTGATGATGAAATCATTTCAAACTTTGCTGTCACAACAGAAGTGTATCAAAGAGTCAATGTCATTAGAAAACTGTAAGAATTATCTTTATAAAAATGAGTTTTAAATTACATAAAATAAGAGTTTAATTTGTAATGAATAAAGGGTACGATTGAAATATTATATCTAATAACACAGTGTAAACATTGATATTAGTCAATATTAGTAGAGAAAGAGCAATAATAGTAGTATAAACGCCATTAAAACATTAGTCAAATTCCTTCGTGTTTCCTACACACAGTATTCAACATAATAATTCGAACAAATAAAAACTTTAACAATGCGAATGAAGCCATTAAATGATAAAAAAAGAAAAAAAAAATACCGTTATTTTTAAATTAATCAATACTAAGAAAAAAAATAATTGATAGTTAAGATATTGTTCATAGATAAATTTAGTTAGTCATATAAACTAGCTAAATATGAAGAAAAAATGTTCCCAATATTAACATATAGAAAGTTACACTTGAAACTAATTTGTCGCTTTTCTTTTGAATTATTACACATTTAGATTTGAATCATATATACATCTCTTCAAATTTAGTATCTTTTTCGTCTCTTAGTGGGTATTAAAAACATCAAATACGTGTTAATAGTTTTTACAGTATATTAAGTAAAAAAATATTTGATATAAAATTATATTAAATAAATGTTTATAAATAAATAAATGTATCTGTTAATCACGAAATATATCCTAATACTTTAGAAGCACTATCTAAGGAAGAGGTTTTCTTTGGTTTTTGGTATAACAGTAAAAATCCCTAACAGTGATACTTGTAAAACTCTTATTCAGTTATATGTAAATAATACATATAACTTCATTCTTATGATAGAATAGATATAAGGTTTAAATTAACTCTATACTTTTACATATAAATTATCTTTTATAAAATTATTTTTTATATATATATTATTACACTAGGCATTAGACCTAATAGGACTCTTCTCACTACCCGTTTATTATTTGTAATATTTTTTAATTTTTTACTTCTCAAGTTATTTTACTCTATAACAATTGTCTCTATATCTCTCTCCGTTCCACCACCTCCTAAAGTCGGGCCATTCGCTGACTTCAGAAACCTTCTCCTCATTGTTCAACATCTCACACAATTTACAGATATCTTCTTTGGATGAAGTTTCCTTGTACACGTAGTGGTTCCTCCAACGAAAATAGTCGTAGAACAATGTCTTGTTATTTATTATTTCATACATTTTCTGCGCTAATTCTGGCACACCTAATTGTTTTCCATCTAAGTAGCTCCCGGGTGGTAAAAATCTGCAAATAATAAAAAAATCTATTAAATATATATAAATGGCATTTTTGTCGATCGTTATATTGAATATCGATCCTACTTTGTTAATTATTGCTAGATATACTTTCTTTTATTTGTATTCGTAGATAGTAAACATTATGTATTAACAAGATACATGTGTTAATATTCATGAAGCAGTTTCTAATATAAATTAAAATGATAAAATAGTTTAATACTATTACTGATTGAAAAGTGCTGGAACAATTCAAAGAAATATACAAAAATGCTTTATATTTTCCTGAGTAAAATGTCCTCTTCTTGATGTACGATTTCTTTTTACAAAAAAATTACCATTGCTTAAAACTGAGAAGATTTTTTCAAACTCAAAACTAAGTCATTTAAATAATTTTCAACACTTCGTAAGTCTTCAGTAAATAATTTATTATGTGTGACCGTAGCTAGCATGATACGCCCCTACATCAGAAAATGCGATAATTTACATAATTAAGTCAGCGAGATAGTAACGAGAATTGATCTGTGAATTCACATGTGGCTGTGTAAATAATTTGATTTGGTTCGTTCTTTGAATTTAATATATTTGTTTTAAAGTGATCTTTTTTTATTCTTATATTCATGTCGTCAGTAAATTAATAATAAAACATTCTTTTGTTTTCCTACTGTTGGGGTTGTGTATTTCTAAATGTATATTGGACCAACTTATACCACAAATAATGCGATCGTATATAAAAAACATAGACGCAGGCTAGACAATCTCCTCCAAGTTTTCGTTTATCAAATTTAATCTCCAAGTTTATCAAGTTTAATCTGTGAGGAAATAGCAATATAGTAATGGCAAGGTATAAAAACGAATACTTTTATTGGATTTCAATTTAGTATTTACTGAAAATAAAAGTTAATAAATGGTTATACTAGCTTATTTGTCAATAAAAAAAAAACGATTAGTTAAGTATGGATGTAAATCCTGATTACTCTTTCCAAAAATGCTTAGCTCTTAATTTGTTTTTCCATTATTTTATAAACAAAATACAAATCATATCTTATTACAACAATAATGGGAATACAGATGCCTTTGTTTCTGTATGTGAGTTATTAAGATTAAAACCACTTCTAGTATTTTTATGTTGTAAACTTAAACATTAATTGCAAATTTGTTTAACTTTTATTAAAATATATTAACTTAACTTTAACTTTTATAAAATAAATTATGGTTTATAGTTTTGCACTGTGGTTCCTTATCAAGCAAACAGTGGCGCTATATTGCTGTTGTCTAAATTCGACACAAAGCAAATTCCGACCAAGGGCATTTTGTGGTGAGTCCATGTCCTATGATATGCCATAGGGCAGCAAAGAAATAAATGGCTATGGTGTGCCATATTAGAAGACAATCTTGGACCTTTTAAATTGTGTTCTTACAGTTGTGGAAGGGAGATAGTTGAAAGAATCAAGCTTGAGTGGCATTAGAGAGACCTTCAGTATGTATATAAAGACAAACTAGCTTTTTCTGGTGCACACGCATATCGGTTTCCTTCAAATACATAAAAGGGACTTTAAATGAGCTGAGCTTGAGGATGTTGAACTGAATTAAAAAAGCCAATTTTCAAATTAATTACTACTTTTATAGCTTAGACTATACCTATTTATAAATTTTCGTGATATGAAAGATATTTTTAAAAATGTTGTGTCTTTTAAATGATAATGTTAATAAAAAAAATCAATATAAATTAGTTTCAGCAACAAGCATCGTATGATATATTTTTTCAAAGCAGTCACTTAATGAGAACTAATAGTCCGATAAGGCAGTTCAAAAAAACGTTTATGCTAATGATTACTAGCATAAACCAATTGAACGGAAATTATTGGCACTTAAAATTTTATTATGAATTAAAGAAATCATTAAAAACCATTGAAGGCTAACGAAAGTCTAAACAATGACGCTAATGTTGCGTAAATACATAAAAACATAATATTGTAACTCTACAGATTTTACTTATAAATTACAAGATGGAGATTTATGTATGAAAAACGTTAAAATATTTGTATTAAGTTAACAATTCGACTTGATCTAAAGTTAATGTATGGTTTGTATTCATTTCTATGCTTACGTAATTCTATTGAATAAGATTTTCTAAGAGTAACACAAAATTATAATTATGTACCAAAACATATGTACATACAAATGCTTTGTTCAATTTATTATGAAGGCAATATTAATGTAAAGTTTCATATCATTCCCGAAACTTCATGATGAAAGTGCTGCTTTGTATGTAGTTATAAGATAACATTTACTTATATTCATTTAAAAATATACAATTATTCCTCAGATTCCACAAAAAGAAGTAAAAGAATAGGAGAACATTACTCCAAATGATTGTCAAATTCATAAACTTCCTAAATAACTTTAATTGTAGTTTATTTAATATATATGAGGGGAATTTTTATTACATTTTAATTTTATTACTTAACTGCTAGTTTAACGATATAATACAATTTGAAATTATTTAAACGTGTTTATTATCATTCTGTTTGTTTCAAAAGAAGTTTGATACTGAGTAGGTGCAAGATTAAATTCTGAAAAGTCGGGTTTTTTGTTTGTGATTACGCATGTTTAAAATTATTAAATTTTCTATAACCTTTGTTTCTGTTATACATTTGGAAATTAAATTCTTTACCTCGTATAATCTGCAGCACCAAACACCACTGGTATTGCGTAGTTATTCAAAGCAGTTAACAATTTCTCTGTCACGTAATCTTCAGAGAAAGAATTCTCCAACGAAAAATAGAAGTAATAGTCTTCTTTCACCAATTTAGCACATGCTCTATACATTTTTCTTGGACAATTGAAATTACCACATGAACCATACACATCGACGGACAAATTGTACTGCTTTAGTTCATTTTGTAAAAAATTCATGAATATTTCCCTTTTACTTTTAGAATTGCAATTTGAAACAAACCACGCACCTGCCTTCTTTTTTTTCGATAGCGTATCTTTTAATTCGTCACTCACAGGCTCCAGGACTTCAGGCCACTTCATATTTACAGCCGGACCTACAACAGTGCCGTTCATATCGTATATCGTTATATATCCGAAACGAAAATCAGAATCCAGTCTGTAAGTCCATGTCCAATTGAAAAATCCATCGAATATCGGATTACAGATAGGATAATTATCAGCAGATTCCATTGCACCGAAAATGTATTTCTGTTCTATCGTACGTACTTTTGGTATTTGTAGATTATTTAGATCTCGCCCGTTGAATGCGATCGCGTCGAAGTCACCGGGATCCATGGAAAGGTGAGTCTTGTGGTCGATTACAAAACAATTTGTATACTTGCACTGATTTTTAATGAACGCCGAGTTTCCCTCACCCATGAAATTGAATGGAGCAAGGTCTCCCGACGTCCATTGCAAAATATTCTTCACGTTTGTTTTCATTCTATGAGATTTAAAACTGGTGGTCATCTTGATGTCACGTAACTTGTAATTATATGTGTACACTAAAGTCAAAACGCAGAACAATGCTCCCATAACAATTAACCGCGTCAAGTTGGTTATGTTCAAAATATTTTTTGTTTGAAACATATTTTCCGCCAATTGTGAGTAGATACGACCGCTCGCTTCGTTTCACCGGCTGTTTTTGATAAGCATAACTCAGATTATCTATCGCTATCGTTAAAACATTATTCGTCACGTTCTATTGGTAATTCTGTTCACCTGATTGTTTGTATACAATGTGCTAATATAACTACATATTAATATTTAATAATAATTCAATGTTCGTTCATTTTTTTCACTTCTTTTTTTGTTACTAGTTTTATTTTAACACATTAAATAAATAGAACAAAGGTTTGTAGTACAGAAATAAAGAATGAAAAGTGGCAATTTTGATTAGAAAAATATGGCTTTTACTTAAAATTTGTAGTGGAGTAAATAGCACACAAATATTTCACAGTTATTAGTAATGACGTTTAAAAGTGAATGCAATTGTGTTGTTTATTATATTATAAATATTTTATTTACATAACTATATAAGCATATATATATTACACATTGAGTGTTTTACCTTTATTCAAAGCAATTATGATAATACAGAGATAATACAACTTGAGTTCGGTTTATTCTTTATGTACCTACCTTTTGCTTTTGTTATATTTATGAGTAACGTGGAGCATTCATTGATATGAGTATATACAATATACATATAGAGTATGTATTGACGGGGAACTGGGTTTTCCTTTCGAGATATTGAATCTAATATAATCTTAAAATGAGTTAAGTGGACGGTGAGTAAAATTTTTGCAAAGTTCCCCACGTTTCTACGGTTGTTTTTCCCAAAATAATTCTTATCTTTTCAGTTTAAACCCAAAAGAAAAGTTTTCTTTTAATAACTTTCAGTTTTTTAACGTATGATTGCTAATGGTAAGTTATAGTTTAGAAGTGGTTTAGTCTTACGAATATTTTTGTATTTCCAAGTAATTTGTATTAGGAGATATTGTTTATATAATAATATAATGCTAATATATATATTAGAAATATTATATATAATAATATTACAAGACGAAAGATAATAAATCTGGAATTTGTCATTGTATGTATTTGTGGTAGCAAATGACATTTTTTGCATACAGACTTAATGAATCCTAAAAAACAAGTCATTGAAGAACTTAAAGGATCTCAAGGAATAATTTAATATTTCATTAATATCAGAGTATAGTTCTTAACTATAATTTTATAACACAAAAGTTTAAATGGAATAGAAAAAATTAGGAAGCCGATTTAAAGATTAAAGAGTAAAAGTGCGTGACAAATAATAAACTTCTATATTGACTGGACTGCTTACTACGTTATGGAGAAGGTAAAAGGTAAAAGGAAGAAGGTAAAAGGTAGAAGAAAGAACTGTAAGTAAGCGGAGAAATGATTATCCCTAATAATATTATAAATGCGAAAGTAACTCTGTCTGTCTGTTTGTTACGCTTTCGCGCGTAAACCACTGAACTGATTTCAATGAAATTCGGTACAGAGATAGAGTTGGCCTTGAGAAAGAACATAGGATAGTTTTTATTCCAGACTTTTGTAATGTTCTCATGGAAACGCGATATAATCGAACTCCACGCGGGCGAAGCTGCGGGCGGAGAGCTAGTATAATATAAATATACCTTAAATTCTGTTCGGTTAACAACAAATAGGTTATCGGTTGCTCGATAACTAAATGTATTTTGGTGTGTAATTACAAAGTTTAAAATCTATCTTAAAAGCATTTTTATGTTTTATTTTAATAGTATAATAATTATATTACAAAAATATCTGATATATAGATAATTTAATGATAATTGATTTAATTTAACTGTACTGTTGTATTCATATCTAAATGTATTACATTGGTTGCAATTAATTTATATATCATTAAATGTTATCTTGCACAAATTACGTAGGGTGGCGACCGGAGGTTCCAGAAAAACTAGGAAACCTTCTTATATGTATATTAAAATACGAATTAAATGTTAAAACTTATAACCTATACCTACAACTATATGATTGTTCCGATGTTAGGATGACAATGACATTCTATTGCTTGTATGGTGTAAGGAATCTTCTGGTTCACACGGCTTGGTGTTCGTTCCGCGGAGTCAGCGGCATCACTCGTTATATGATATTTAACCCATACAAAGATATCGCCAGGACGATGTTCAATTATTTCTTCATATTATGTAGCGCGTAGGTAACATACACTTGTTTTGGCAAGAAAGGATTTCTGTATCATTAATTGTAAAGCATAAAAAATCAAGATATTTATAAGCACTACTTGGTCAGGAACGTGTTTTATTGAAGAGAAGAAAATTTAATTATAAAACAATTAGTACTAGATCTCAGATAGTACATCAGTTAGTACATTTGTAAATATGTAAGAAATAATTGATTTATGTTTAGATTAGATTGATAAAAATGGTTACGTAGAAAATAAATTAAATGTTGTCTAATAGTAGGTGTGATAAGACCTTGGCTTGAATCCGAATTGCTCTCTTCCCTTAAGCCAGTGTGGATTAATGAGTATTGTTTTTCCAAGAATAGGTTTATTGTGTGTAGAATTGTGGAGGATGCATGTCTATTTATAGCAGTTGGAGTTTTTAACGCTTTGCATTTTAAAAAAATTGTTATGCACGATGGTATTCTCATAAGAATCCCTTCAAAAGAGGTCCAACCTCCTCTTAGACACCTGGGACGTACTTTCAGGAACGCATTTCATGATTTTATTAATGTTACAAGTTTAATATCATTGTCAGTTAGAGAAATTCGTATGTGTCAGGGGATTTTATTACTCAAAAATGTAATAAAAAAAGGTATACATGGATATAGCCCAAGTTGTTGACCTGTTAATAATAATGAAAAGAAAAAACTATTTTTTAAAATAGGTTTTGAATCGGAACTTATATTTTAAATATGTCCTGAGTTACTGAAATTTCTAAACTCCTACAATAAGAAAAGTTACTATGTCTGGGACCTCATGATTGTGATATGGCGAATAAACTTATTAGACTTAATTCTGGTGGTAGATGAAGAACAAATTTTCTATACAGTTCGATGCATTATACTAACCATAATAAGAAATGATAAGAATTTCGATAATACAAAATACATTTAACTCCATTAAAACTTTCACAAAATGTTTTTAAAACTAAATTCAGTTAAGTACCTATACAAATACTACAATTATAGATTATATACAAATACAATACAAATACTAATAGTTACTACATTTCTAATACTATGTTTAGGTATATAAATACTTCTAGAAAATATAATTCACTGGAGCATCTAATAAAAAACTATAAAAAAATATATATTTTGAGCATACTCTTAAAACAATAATCACACGATAAATTCATTCTACAAGACAATGCAGTAATCAACGTCGTAATAATCTGCAACAGGAGATATTACCGAGTATTACTCAAGCCCAGAGCAATGTAGTTTATTTCTTGAAGTAACAAGAAACATTATTAATTTCATACAGACATTTTCCAATAAATATGATTTTAAATGGATGGAATGTTATTGGAATTTAAAAAGTTTGTAAACCATGTTTAAATTCTTTTATACCAAATACGATTATTTAAAAAATAATTTTAAATTTTCTGCTTCACATCTCTTTGTTTATTTCTCCCTCTTTCCCTCTGTCTCTATAGAGAGAGAGAGAGTTAAATCAGACATAAAAAGTTATGATATAAACACAAGCATACTACAGAATCCAGAAAGTTAAGGAACTCATTGTAATGACATTTTACAAAATTTTAAGGGTTTAACAAAATAGACTTATCAAGTCATTTATAATACTTTTAATGTTATGTCCTAAAAGACTTGGATTTCTCATAACGTTGAATTACAAGGAAGTGTTAACAGTATTCGAGTTCGAGATTATACCAGCCTTTATATTTCATATTCATTATAAATTCATTCAAATTTAGATCAGTTAGAAGTTATAATCTTGTGTAAATGAGAAACCCTAATAGATTCTGAAACAAAATATATAAATTACCTATTCATTAGAAGCTTCACAACTTATTATAAGATATTAAAAGCGGTTTACGTAACTAATTGCTTGGTTATTTTAAAACGAAATCGTAGATTAATGATATTTATTGTTAAAAAGAAGTACAGCGAAATTTTAAAAGAGAATGATATTACAGCATCAATCATTACGTGTTTTTCTTATCTAGTAGTACCTTAATGTTCTAATTTTTGTCCAAGACGTAGTAGAGCCTAGTTGTGATCAAGTAACTACAGCTTGAAGATGGGCTAGCTCGACTAGCGAATGTTCCTGTAACAGAAAATCGGAGTGAAGTAGCCTTTAATGGCCGTGTTTCGTCCGATGAGTGAGAGAGACGGTTGCACTTTTCTTTTTCTCACACTTTCCCTCCCGGGACGTTGAAGTGTTCAATGATCTTCAGCCCTGTATCAGCCTAATATGTTTTGCGGCGTTCGGAACCCTTTCCCATTCGCCAGTGGGACACCAAAACCGACTTTCAGTTCATCCTACGGACACTGCTCTTGACAGGATTGTTATTGGACTATGAGCATCAAATATTCCCTCCGCCGCAAAGGTGGTATTCGCGACATCGTGATCCACCATGATCCCATTACGTAACAGTGGGCTCGTTTGCCCCTTTACCATAAAAAAAACAAAGGATGATTTAATAATGCGGCTGTTGTTGAAATTGATTAAATTTTTATTAATCTACATTAACTGATTTATTTTAGACAATATGACAAGGCTTGGCTTCAATAATATACAATTCTGAACAAAAAAAACAAAATAAAATTCATGTACTGAAAAACCATTCCAATCTTTTAATTCCCAATGAGTGTATTCCTACAGCTTCCAATGTTTAATTGACTATATCATCTATGCTTATTAATGTATCGTAATTAGTGAACTTGAAAATTAAAACTTCTGTTTTTGACAT